TCTAATGCCTTCAATATTGCACTGATAGCATTGTCCAATTTGCAACAGTGCTTATTTATGCAAATTATGTACTTAAGGTATAGATGCAGATTTGTGAGCACTCTGAGTGAAATTTTTTTTTTTTTTTTTTTTACCCAGACAGTCTTGGTCATTGAAATTCAACAAGCAGTTCTCAAGATATCAGAAGAAGAAACATACATACACACCCAGACAGGTTAAGCCGAAAGGCTTGCTTTGTGAGCTACACACACAGGAGTCAAAACAACAACAAATAATTAAGTACATAATTTGAGACAACTACATGCACAGTTACTAGTAGGCATTAAGGGGTGGCTAGAAGTTTTGTTATATAAAAATGGCAAGCTAGACAAGAAGACAAAAAAATGATGCAAGGTGTTGTAAGAAAAACAAAAATTGACAAGACATTGATAAAAAGTCAAAGAAAGCTTAGAAAGAACTCATATGTGCTAAAGGTATTAAATACTGTATTTACTATATTAGAAGCACAATGTAAAGCAAAAATTGTATTTATTGCATGCAAAATTATTGAAGTATACTGTGGAATACTTTATTTTCGCTGGAATTATTTTTCACTGAAAAGGCTTTTTGGGCATTTTGTATGGAATTAATTTTCACTGATTTTTGATGAGTTTAATGTGAAATATAGGAAAAAAAGTATATTCGCTGGAATCCAAGCAAAAACAAGCAGCCTGTCGGCCGAGATAGCTCCGCTGTTAGCAATGCACATTTCAATTAAAGAACTGAAGATATCATTAGAAAATGAACAATATGTATAGTATCAAAGCAAAGGACCTTGCTGTTTTCAACAAGAATTCAAAAATATTACTTTTCACCAAAAATGACAAAAATAATCATCAAAATTAAGTAATTGAAGATATCACCACGAAATTAACAAGGTCCACATGTAATACCTATATATGTAATATAAAAGCAATCAGACTTGCGGTTTTTAACAAGAAGTCAAAAATATCACTTTTTACTAAAAATGACAATAATATTCACCAAAATTAGAGAATTAAAGATATCATTACAAAATGAACAAATCTGAGAGAGGTCTACCCAAGGTACATATACACCAAGTATCAAAGCATTCAGACTTGTAGTTTTCAAGAAGAAGTCAAACAAGCAGCCTATCGGCTGAGATAGCTCCGCTGTTAGCAATGCACATTTCAATTAAAGAACTGAAGACATCATTAGAAA